GACCTGAAGCGAAGTGATGACGGTGACGGTGCGCCACGTGCTGTTTGTACTTTCCCTCGCGCTGTGCTGCGCCTGCGGGTGCGTGGCGGCGGTGCAGCAGAGACCGCTGCGTCGCAACAGTGTCTATCAGCTCTCACAGTATCGTGCTTCGCTATCGGCCGAGGAAGCTGCCGTGTCGTCCCCAAGGGCTCTGAGAGAACGTACCAAGGTCTTCCTAAAGAAATCGAGGACGGCCTGCGATGATGTTTTGGACGCATCTGGGAGGGCCAGGGCATCAGTGGAGGTGGCGGGCGAGGCACTGGAGGCTGCAAAAAAGTCACAGGAAGTGGTGGAGCAGCTTGACAAGGATTCCGAGGCGGCGAGGAAGGCTGTGGCTCAGGTGAAGGCCGCTGAAGATGCACGAAGATATGCCGTTGATGCAGCAGAGTACATTGCGGGACTTGAGGCTTTATGCCATCGCTATGTTGAAGCAGTCACCAGGGCGCATGAGAAGGTTGTGTCTACAAGGACGAGTTTAAAGGATGCCGAGCAACAGAGCCAAATCGCCTATTCAGAAGCGCTTGCCGCTGAGATGAAGGCGGACGAAGCCAACAGAGAGGCGGAAGGTGCGCAGCAGTTCGCACAGAAGGCAATGAAGGCAAAGGAGGAAGCTCTGGTGCTGCAGAAAGAAGCTGAGGCTGCGCAACAGCGCGAAACAACACGGAATGGGAGGTTCCACGACAGGGGAGCGTGGCAACCATCCACGCCTGATGTGGGTTCTTTTGAGCCGATGGACGAGACAGGAACTGTGACGCACGACGTTGCTTCAGAGCCAGAAGACCTACGAGGCGCGCGAGACTTCGAAGAGGACACTATTATGGATACAAAGCACAGGGCGACTCCGTCGCTGCGCACGCCCAGCTCAGAAGTGAGGCATGAATGGTGGGGAGAGTCATCCACTGCCGCACGGGACGCATTGAGTGGTGACGCGGTGAGGAGTTTTCGAGATGATGCGCATCATGCCACAGATCGCCTTGAGGATCCTCGGTCTTTCGAAAGCAAGGACACATCTGTGGAACCCAGCGAATGGACGAATGATGCATCAGCGCAAACAGACACAACTGATGCTGGGAACAGACGGTCGGCGAGGTATGAGCACCCCCCCACACAGAACCGACGGCGTGGTGCCACGCAACGGTGGGGAGGCGATGAGACCAATTCCGGCTCTTCTTCTTCCACAGTTTGGGATGGCAGCTGCACCCCTTCGTGGATTTGTGTGCCACTGATTCTGCTGCTGACACCGTTCTATGTGGCCGCGTGAGGTGCGGTACGAGCCCCAGGGCAGCGGTGATCACTCTGTGAGTGTGTTGTTTTGTGTGAAGTCACACCGCATAAGGACAAATTTTTTTCGTTAAATTGCTTCCGCCCCCACTGTGGGCGTAGTGTCCCGTTCTCCATATGACAAGGCACACACGTGCACTGGAGATACTGGCACAAGTCTTCCCTTTTTTTCGTTTCGGTGTGTCTGTGGAGGGGGGGGGG